AGATCTCAGGCCAGGCTGAAAGATAAGGCTCATCTCCCATGAGACCAGATGACTGTACTACTGTAAACTACTGTAAAGAATCTGAAAAAAAGTTACTACACCAAGTAGGCTTAGCAACATCATCAGATTAAAGATAAATATGAGAAAAATCAATTGAGAGGAGTTCCACTTCCAGGAAATGGAATAGACCCACATTTTTCTATTTTTTCCAGCAAGCAGAAAATAAAAACCCTGGACATTATATATAAAACAAATATAAGAAGATTCTGAAAGGTGAAAAGGAGGTAGGCCACATAAAACCTTGGGACCCAAGGAAGTATATGATGGCAAGTTCTCTGGGTTTTATTTTTGCCTTGTATATCTCAGACTTGGAGCTAAAGAAAACAGTAACTCATGTCATATGATCTGTCAATCCCACTCCTGGACATATATTTGGACAAAATATAATTCAAAAAGGTACATGCACCTCTCTGTTCATAGCAGCACTATTCACAATAGCCAAGACATGGAAACAACCTAAATGTCCATTGACAGATTAATAGATAAAAGACGATGTGGTACACGTACGCAATGGAATACTACTCAGCCATAAAAAGAATGAAATAATGCCATTTGCAGCAACATGGGTGGACTTAGAGATTATCATACTAAGTGAAGTTAAGTCAGAAAGAGAAAGACAAATACCATAAGGTATCCCTTAGAAGTGGAATCTAGAATATGACACAAATGAATCTATCTATGAAACAGAAACATACTCACAGACAAAGAGAACAGACTTGTGGTTGTCAAAAGGGAGGGGGCATTGGGGAGGGATGAATAGGGAGTTTGGGGTTAGCAGATGCAAACTATTATATATAGAATGGATAAACAACAAGGTCCTACTTGATAGCACAGGGAACTATATTCAATATCTGATGGTGATAAACCATAATGTCTCACAATATAAAAAAGAATGTATATATATGTATAACTGAATCACTTTGCTATACAGCAGAAATCAACACAACATTGTAAGTCAACTATGCTTCAATTAAAAAAAGAAAAAAAACAGTAACTCAGAAACACCAGTGTGTTTAGACAACAAAAGCCCAACAAAATCCTGCTCTCTCTAGCTAAAGCATCAAGAAAAGAACAGAATGGCGAGAGAAAAAACTTGTAAACACTAAACTCTCTACTCCAGCCAATACCACAGAAAAAAAATTGTGGTGCTACTTCCACCCATGCCAGCAAAGGCCAAGTGGGGAGTCTAAACGTCCTCCATCACCAGGCTTTAACAAGGCAACACAACCCCAACAGAGTGGTGTTAGAGAAAGTGAGTCCTGGGAACCGGGACTTTCATCACCAGTGTGTGGAACAAACCTCCCTACCACAGTGTCAGTGGAGACCCCAAAGAGAATCTGGACTTCCACTCCTGCCTAGCAGTATCAAGGTGATCTACCCCTCCCCCTCCCTGCTGCAGTTGTGTGTGAGGAGCCCTAGTGGAGAGTAATGATTTTCACCATGCTCCACAGTAACAGTGGAAGTCAACTGGAGAGCAAAGTGGTATTAGTGGGAGCCTAGTGGAATCTGGAGCACCAACTTTTGACCAGCGAGTAGCCTCTTCCTTCCTAAGGTGTCAACTGGAGAAGAATGGGTAACCTGGACTTCTATACTCATAATAAGATGGCACTCCTTATCCTGCTGAAATCAGAGAAAGCCAGCTAAAACAGAATGTATAAATAACATCCAGAGTCTCATAATACCCCAAATGTCCAGATTTCAATAAAAAATAATCTGACATACCAAGAATCAGGATGACCTCAACTTGAATGAGAAAAGACAATTACCAGATACCAAACCCAAGATGACAGAGATGTTAGAATAATCTGACAAGTTTTCAAAGCAGCCATCATAAAGTTCTTCAAAAAATCATTAGGAATATGCTTGAAACAAGTGAAAAAATAGAAAGTCTCATAAATAAATGTAGGATAACAAAGAACCAAACAGAATCTTTGAAAGAACTGAAAAACATAATAACCAAAAAAACCCCAAAAACTTAATAGATGGGCTCAAAATCAAAATGGAGGAGACAGAGGAAAGAATCAATTAACTTGAAGATACAATAGAAATTACCCAATCTGAATAGCAGAAAGAAAAGATACTAGAAACAAACAAACAACAACAGAAAGCAGAGTCTCAGGGATCCAATATTGGTCTCATTGGAGTCCCAGAAGGAAAGGAAAAAAAAGGACAGGTCTTCAAAATAACTATAAGAAATAATGGCTGAAAACCCTCCCAAATTTGGCGAGAGACACAGTATACAGATTCAAGAAGTTTAATAAATACCAAAAAAAAAAAAATTCAAAGACATACCAAGATACATCAAACTTCTGAAAACTAAAAGAAAATATATTGAGAGCAGCAAGAGAAAAATAACACCTTATATTTATGGGGAAAACAATTTGAATGTCAGCAGATTGATCATAAGAAACCATGGAGGCCAGCAGGAATTTTTCATGTTCTGAAAAAAAGAATGATAAACACAGAATTCTATGTACAGTAAGAATATCCTTCAGAAATAAAGGGGAAATCAATCCATTCTTAGATCAAATAAAACTAAGAGAATTTGTTACCAGCATACCTACTCTAAAAGAATGGCTGGAGGAAGCTCTCTGAACAGAAATAAAATGATAGAAGGAATCTTGGAACCTCAAGAAGGAAGAAATTATGATGTTAATAGTAAAAATATGGGCAAATACACTTTTCTTCTACTATTGTCTAATTTATGTTTGATGACTGAAGAAAAAACTGTAACTGTCTGATATGGTTCTAAAATGTACATAGAAGAAATATTTATACAATTATATTACAAACAAGGGAAATGAGGAAGGGTGGGTAAAGGGACATAAAGGCAGGTAAGGTTTCTATACTTCAGTCAAGCTGATAAAATGTCAACACTAGGAGACTGTGATTAGTCATGTATTCATAATGCAATACCTAGAGCAAACACTAAAAAGCTACACAAAATGATGCACTCAAAAACATTACAGATTAATCGTATTGGAACCCTAAAATATTCAAGTAACCACAGGGAAGCAAGAAAAAGAAGAAAAATGAAAAATAGAGAATAGAAAGCAAAATATAAAATAGCAGATATAAGCCCTAAACATCGATAATTACATTTAGTGTAAATGGTCTAAATACACCCAGTGAAGAACTGAGATTGACAGAGTGGATTTAAAAACATAAGCCAACTATATGCTGTCAAAAACACACTAAAGTCAAATGTAGCTATATAAGAAGATTGAAATAAAAGAATGAAAAGTTACACCATCAGTACTGAATGCTTCTCCCCTAAGATCAGGAACAAGTTGTGGACACCAGCTCTCCTTATGCTATTTTGACATGTTACTGGCAGTCTTAGCCAGTGCAGTAGGAAAGGAAAAGAAAAGAAGAGGCAAACAGATTGGATAAGAAGAAATAAAACTGTCTCTATTCACAGATTACATGATTGTCTACACAGAAAATCCCAAGGAACCTACAAAAATATTCTCAAAACTAATATGACAGTTCAGCAAGGTTACAGAATACCAGATAAACCTACAAAATACAATTTTATTTCTATACCATGAACACATAGGTATCAAAATTAAAAACAATACCATTTACAATTGACCCCAAAAGTGAAATATCTGTGTGTAAATCTGACAAGATATATATAGGACTTTTATATTAAAAACAACAAAACACTGACGAAATCAAAGGAGATCTAAGTAAATGTAGAGTCATACCGTGTCCACGGATTAGAAGACAACATAATAAATACATCAATTCTCCCCAAACTGATATACAGGATTAAAATAATTCCTAAAGAATTTCAGCAAGATTTTTTGGGGGTAAATATATGATTTATATGGAAAGGCAAAATAACTAAAATGGCTAAAATAATTTTGAAAAAGAAGAATAAGATGAAAGGAATCAGTTTACCCAATTTCAAGACTTATTACATAGCTACAGTAATCTACAGACACTATGGTATTGGCAAAGGGATAGACATATAGATTAATGGAACAGAAAGCAAACCCAGAAATAGACCCACACACATATGCCTAAATAATTTTTGACAAAGGTGCAAAAGCAATTCAATGGAGGAAAAAGAGCCTTTTCAACAAGTGGTGTTAGAGCAATTAGTCATCCACAGGCAAAAAAAAAAGATGAAATTACATCTAAATCCCACATTTTATACATCTTACACAAAAATGAACACCAAAATGGATCACAGACTTAAATGTAAAATGTAAAACTATAAAACCTTTAGAAGAAAAATAGGAGAAAATCTTTGGGACCTATGGCTAGGCAGAGTTCTTAGACCTGATACCAGAAACAGGATTCATAGGAAAAAAAATTAATAAATTATCTTCAACCTAATTAAAAACTTTTGCTCTGAAAAAGATCCTGTTAAGGGAATAAAAAGACAAGCCACAGACTAGGAGAAAATATTTGCAAATAAAATATCCAACACAGTACTCATGTCTAGAATATACAAAGAACTCTCAAAAGTTAACAGTACAAGATAAACACTGTTATCTGAACATGAGCAAAAGACATGAAGAAATATTTAACCAAAGATATAAAGGTGGAAAACAAATAAATGAAAAGATGTGCTTGTTAAATAAAAGTACCTTTAGAGACCTATAGATGAAGACCCAAACTATAGGATGTTAGAAGAACGTACAGGAGTAGTATCTTCTGAATGTTGGGATAGAAAAGAATTTCTTAATTCTTAAAAATCACTGAATATATTAGCAAAATGAAATTCGTAGACCTGAAACTCAAGGGGTCACTGAAGGTCTACCACACTATCACCACCCTGAAAGATCCACCTAACCTGACTTTAATATCTCTATCGGTTTCTACTTATTTTAGTTCTTTATTTAAATACCAACTTCAATAAATGTGAAGATTTTAAAAGATATTTTGAGACTCATTAAAACAAAAGATTTCAGGTAAAAAAAACTTACATTTCCTCCCATTCTTTTTTTCGCTGCTGAATTTTCAGTTGGGCCCTTTCAGCCTTTAATATAAGTTTCCTTGTTTTCTCAATTTGACTTTCCACCATAATTTCACTTAGGGTTTTAGGCCGAAATTTCTTCCCTTTTTCTATGATTGATTCTTCTGGCACACTAATACTCCCACCTGTAAAGAGAGTCAACATTTTTTTTCGATCTTTTTGAAACATCAAAATAAAACTTTCAAATATTGTTTTTAACCTGCCACATTATAAAAATCCAAGAATATAATGAATCTGTAGTATATATTATAATCTGCAGTATATATTAAGCAACTACCATGAGTTAAATCCCATAAGTTATTTTAGAATACCAAAATAAAGAGATCTAAATCACAATTTTTGCTCCTCCGAACCTTATTAAAAAGTTGGTGAGATAGCAATTAGAGAACAAGATAATGAATAACAGACCACTGACAGATATTGAGAGGCAGGGAAAGAGTGTCTGTAACATGATGATGGGGGAAGGGAAAAGCAAGTGAGTCCTATTTGACATGTATAATTTGAGGTGCCATATACCAACTGCAGTGGTCTGTGACCAATCAAAAAACTTGTCAGAAACACACATCTAGAATTGAAAAATTATGGGCTTTATCACAGACACATGAAAAAATGCTCAACATCACTAGTCATCAGGGAAATGCAAATCAAAACCACAATGAGATATCACCTCACACCTGTCAGAATTGCTGTTATCAAAAAGACGACAAATAACAAGTGTTGGTGAGGAGATAGAGAAAAGGAAACCTTTGTGCACTGCTGGTAGGAATGTAGATTAGTGCAGCCACTATAGAAAACAGTATGGGGGTTCCTCAAAAATTAAAAATAGAACTACCATATGACCCAGGAATTCCACTTCTGGATATTTTTCCAAAGGGAAAAAACCCCACTAATTCAAAAAATGTATGTGCCCCTATGTTCACTGCAGCATTATTTACAATAGCCAAGATACGGAAGCAACCTAAGTGTCCATCGATAGCTGAACAGATAAAGAAGATGTGGTATACATATATATATATATATTATACACACACACAATGGAATATTACTCAGCCATAAAAAAAATAAAATCTTGCCATTTGTGACAACATGGATGACCTAGAGGGTATTAGACTGAAATAAGTCAGACAAAGAAAAATACTGCATGATTTCTCTTATATGTGGAATCTAAAAAAACAAAACAAATGAACAAACATAATAAAACAGAAACAGACTCATAGATACAGAAAACTAACAGCTGGTTGCCAGAGGGGAGGGGGTGGGGGGATGAAATAGGTGAGGGAGATTAAGAGGTACAAACTTCCAGTTACAAAATAAATGAGTCGGGGGATGAAATGTACAGCATAGGAAACACAGTCAATAACGTAGTAATAATTTTGTATGGTAACAGATGATAACTAGACTTATCATGGTGATCATTCTGTAATGTATAGAAATATGGAATCACTATGTTGCATACCTAGAACTAACAGTTTTGTAGGTCAGTTAAACTTCTATAACAATTAATTAATTAAAATAATTGATTTTATCAGTTATAAGTATCTACTGGGGGAATTACTCTATGTTCAAGTTGCATAGAGATATACTTTGGATATACACAAAAAAAGTTAAATAATATGGATGGTCATATAGTTATAAGCTACCATTTCACTTCATATTTCAAATATATGGCACCACAGTAAAATAACAGTTTAATGTGGCCTGAGTGGCCACAGAAAGGCTTTATAGTAAAAGTGTAATTTGTATATATAAAATAGATAACCAACAAGGTCCTACTGTAGAGCACAGGGAACTATACTCAATATTTTATAATAACCAATAAGGGAAAAGAATCTGATAAAGAATATAAATATAACAATCACTGTGCTGTACACCTGAAACTAACACAACATTGTAAATCAACTATACTTCAATTAAAAAATTAAAAGTATAATTTGATCTGGATCCCCAAGGACTGGGGAGAATTCAGAGAGGAGAGGAGTGAATTGGTCACTCCATCAGGAACCTGGATGTGGAAGTTTCAGACATAATTAGGAAGCAACAAGCAGGACAATAAGCTAAACATGCCAATCACGCAGTATGAGAATGCGCTATTGGAAATAAATTAGGGATATTGTGGAAGGATTAAATATGGGGATAATGGTTTCAAATTTTATCCTAGAGGCAGAAAGAAGCCATTAAAGGTTTCTCAGTGAAGAGAGTGAACCAGTATTAAGGTCAGTACTGTATCCTGGGCACTAGTCTAGATCTGGCCAGGCTACAGTGACCTTTATCCTTGACTGGGCTCTGCAAGCCATTCCCAGAATTCCTGTCTTCCTCCTACTCACCTGCAGTCATCCTGCAGGCAGTCACAAGAGGCAGGGCACAGGGATTAGAGGCACTATTTTCACATCTGTATTCTCAGCTCATCACTGTTTAAAGCATATGCTCTTGGAAAAGTGTGAAATGCTGTGTTCTAGCCCTACGCTCTGGGATGGGGCCCAGGAATCTGGGAACAAACACTGCCTAGGAAAACTAGCATCTGGGGAAATCCTAGATTTAAGAACAGCTGGACATGGGAAGTAAGAAATCCGCAGCACCAGGTGCTCTCATCCACTCTCAGTCCCATGACTGGGAGTCAAATGTTCTGCTCACAAAAAGATAATTCAACTTTGAAGTTTTAATAAATAGGGACTTAAAAGCCTTCTTGTCATTTAGGTTACCTGTATCTCTCTGACTGTCCTTTCTTCCAGTTCCTTCTTTTTCAAACCTCTCAAATTTGCTCGCTCTTCTCTCTGATTGACTTGGCCGTTTGGATTTGGAGTATTTAGAGGATTTCACAAGCCTATAGGAGGATATCTTGTGTTCACTTTGTATGGCATGAACCACAATAGTATCGCTTTCCAACGAATCACGAAATCTGAAGGGCAAAAAAATTATTTGCAATCATCACCAGTTTAATCATGCTGCATGATTATTACATAATAAAATAAGATCACAATGTACTATGCTGATAAATGATACCACTATATCACACTGGATCCAAAATTCAACCATGCTTATACCAACCCAACAAGGATGTAGTGGAATTTGAATAGGACTTGATTAAAGAGCAAGTCGAATTTTCTTCTTAATGAAAATACTAAACATCTCATTATAAACAGTATAATACCATTGTTTTGATAGTATGAAGAGTCAAAAATTTTCAGACAGACTACAGTTTAAAGGTAAATGGATTATATCAAACTCTGAGGAAATGTAATTCATCTTCCTATCTATTATCTCATTTATTATATCTAATATTTCATATATTACATACATGATAGATAACAGGTGGTGATACATGTATGTACATATTACCCTATTTGTCTCTATAAAAAACATTAAGCTCAGGAGTCTGTACTACTCTCCAGTTCAGCTTTCTCTTATAGCTTACAGACATCTATCTTTTAAAAGTTCTTCATCAATTTAATTGTTGTTATTTTTGGCTGGTTCACAATTATTTCCTCATCTTTTTATGTCTAAGTTGATTTATAGATTCAATGTAATTCCAATCAAAATCCTAGGTTTTGTCATGAAAGTTGACAAACTTATTCTGTGCAAAGGACCTAAGCAATATTGAAGGTGAAGAACAATCCAGAGGGTGCAAAATATCAGATGTCAAGAATAATTAAGGTCTTGTGACACTAGCGCAAAAACAGACAGGCCAATGGAATAAAATGAAGAGTTTAGAAACAGAGCCATATATATGTGGTTACCGGATTTTTGACAAAACCATCACTACAATCTAGTAAGGAAAGGATGGTCTTTTCAGCGAATGACAGTGGGACAATTGGATATCCATATAGAAACAAAAGACACTTGATCGCTATCTTACACCACCCACAAAAATTACCCAAGATAGATAATGGCAAAACAGTAGAGCGTCTAGAAGAAAACGGAGAATTATTCATGAATTGGGAATAGGCAAAGATTCCTTAACTACAACATAAAAGCACTAACCATAAAAAGTTAGTGAAAATATTGATAAATAGCAAAGGAAAACACTGATAAACTAAACTTTATTAAAATGAAAAATTTCTGTTCAAAAAGACACTATAATGAGGATGAAAAGACAAGCCTCAGAGTAGGGCAAGATATTTTACATGCATGCATACACACACATAGATATGTCATATATACATGTGTCATGTGTATGACGAGACGCATCCAGAATATATAACTCCCACAACCCAATTTTTAAATGAACAAAAGACTTGAGCAAACCCCTAACAAAAGAGAATATAAAAATAACCAGTAAGTATAGGAAAAGTGACTGAAAATCGTCACTCATCTGGAAAATGCCAATTTAAATCACACTGAGACACTACTACAGAATAGCTGAAATTTAAAGAGCTGACAATGCCCAGTGATGGCAAGCATGAGTGTTATGGGTTGAATTGTGTCTCCCCAAAAGAATATGAAGTCCTAACCCCTCAGGTACCTCAAAATATGACCTTATCTGGAAATAAGGTCTTAACAGAGGTAATCAAGTTAAAATGAGATCATTAGGGTGGATCCTAATCCAACATGACTGATGTCCTCATAAAAGGAGAAAAGTTGGACAAGCACAGAGGCAATATTATACGAAGAAACACAGAGAGAACACCATGTGAAGACAGAAAATTTAGAGTGATGCATCTACAAGCTAAGAAACACCAAAGATTGCTGGCCAAGCCACCAGAAGCTCAGAAAAAGGCATGGAACAGATTCTCCCTCCCAGCTCTCAAAAGAAACCAATTTAGTCAACACTTCGATTTTGGACTTCCGGTCTCCAGAATTATCAGATAATAAATGTCTGTTATTGTAAACCAGCCTGTCTGTGGTACTTTGTTATGGAAGCCCTAGAAAATGAATACAATGGGAATCAATTGGAATTCTCATACATTGATGATCAGAGTATAAATAAATTGAGCCATTTTGGAGAACTGTTTGTCAGTGTCTAATAAAGCTAAACATGCTTAGAACCTATGGTCTAGCAGTTCCACTCCTGATTATATAGAAAACAGAAATACGTGCTTATGTCCACCAAAAGACATGCACAAGAATGTCAGCATTATTCATCGAAGCCAAAAAATAGGAACAACTCAAATATCAGCAGTTAAATGGATTAATAAATTGTGGTATAACCATTTAATAGAATATTACAAAGCAATGAAAATGAATGAAGTACTGCTACCTGCATCAACATGGGTAATCTTAGGCATGATACTGAATAAAGAAGCCAGATACAAAAGCGTTCATACTGCAGCTTTCCATGTATATGAAGTTCACAGACACAACTAATCTATGGTGATAAACATTCATCTTTGGAGAGTAAATATTTATCGGGAGGAGGCCACGAGGGAAATTTCTGGAGTGTTATAAAAGTTCTTTTATTTTTTTAATTTTTTTGAATTTTATTTCTTTTTTTGGCTGTGTTGGGTCTTCGTTGCTGTGCTTGGGCTTTCTCTAGTTGTGGCGAGCGGGGGCTACTCTTCATTGCCGTGCACAGTCTTCTCATTGTGGGCTGCAGCTCGTGAGCTCTAGAGTGTAGGCTCAGTAGTTGTGGCATGCAGGCTCAGTAGTTGTGGCGCACAGGCTTAGTTGCTCCGTGGCATGTGTGATTTTCCTGGACCAGGGCTTGAACCCGTGTCCCCTGCATTGGCAGGTGGATTCTTAACCACTGTGCCACCAGGGAAGCCCCCTTGGCTCTATTTTAATTTTCTAATATATACATGCTCACATGTTAATTAGTTATAAAATAAATAGTTTGTTAAAACCGAAAGTAAATATGTATGACATAATTTGGTTTGCAAAAAATTTTGCAGACTTAAACTAGGAAGGAGTGAGCTCAGGAAGTCAGTAGCACTGACAAGAGGATTCCTTGAGATTTTAGGAGTTAGTAGGTACTTCAGGAGACCTCTTAATCTGACCACTTCAATAAAGCCACTGGAAACTACTTTCTTCAAATATATGCTCTCAAACATCTTAACTTGCAAGGAATATGCATCCTACCTACTCTGTAGCTTCCTTAGGCCAAGTTGGTGTTTCTCTTTTTCCCAAGCTAATTCCTTTTCCACTCGTTGAATTTTATTAGCTGTTTTCCTGTCAATCTCAGCACGAATTTTGGAATCTAGATCAAAATCCTGCAGATAAGTAGATTTGTTCATCAAAATGAGTACCTTTATCGATAGACTTTATCAATCCTATTTCATACATAAGTACAGATTTTTAAGGTTTGTCCTCAATTTTATGCTACATCATAACTGTCTCCTAAGTATCATAAACTCTCTCATTCTAGGAAAAAACAACATACTTTTGATTTTACTGTCACAAAATATGGAGAAAAGTTCCCAGAAATAATTAACAATGATGAAAATACAGTTACATATTAAAAGATTTTTCCCACAATATAAACAATGAATGCTAACAGAATATTTGGAGAGTTTAAACAGTTTTTTTTAAAAAAAAAAAAGGAACTCTCTCCACCCCAGAATAACTACTGTTACATAACCAGCTGGGCATGGGGTAAAAGTTCATGGCACTTGATCATTAGCTGATCCTTCCTTCCCATGTGACTCCCCACCTAGGAAAGACAGTAATGTCTTTGGTGTCTTCCGGATATAACCAAGTTCTGGTTGAATATCCCTCACCAAAGGGGCCATTTTCCCCATAAGGATACTTAGGGGCCTCGTGTTTCTTTCCTTCACTCCTGGAAAAATATCAGGGCCTTCATTCACACTGAATTGAAAGTAATTATTCTTTCCAGGTGTGTTGGTGCTTTAAATAATGGTGTATGTAAAATGCTTAGCCACAGAACTTACCTCAGTTGTTCTTTATTTTGAATTATGTAACCATATTCTGCAAGTGTCAACACTTTTCTTAGTAAAATAACAAACATCTTTTAACCATTATAAGTTGGTCTTTTAACCAATATAATGAATTAATCATTATGATTTCACCACAGTTTTTTTTTTTAATACGAAATTGGCTAAGTGCTTCTGGAATTATAGGACTGGGTAACCCATGGGTATAGTCAGGATAATAAATTCTGAGTTTTTATTTGATTAGGCTCTTGACAGTAATTCCATTTAAGATAATGTAAAAAAAATTAGGAAAAAGAGTTATCACTAGGAGGTAAATGGGGCTTTGCAACAAGTCACAGAAGAAAAAAATTTAATACAATATTAGCTTAAACAATTTGGTGATTGTCCCCATAGCTACAACTATACTAAGTCATCTTTTAGAAACTTTGTGGATGAACCAGGTACTATCTTTTCAATAGAGTTGATGAATTATGGAAAAGGAACCACAGAGAATCAAATTATATAGTATGTACCTATCCAACGGTTAAATATCTTGGCTAGGTATGGTGATAACCAGATTCAAACTTATATCTTATTACCAAAAAAATGTGAAGTAGCTAAATCCAGAAATAAACTTTGTGTAAAGAGGCTCATCTACATCCAAACCAAGTTGCATGACAAGTTCCACAGTAGTTTAGTTGCTGCCAACACACTGACAAACCAGACAAGGGAAATTTAAAGATGGTTTTAAGTGTTCCTACTTGTTGGGAAAATAGCAGCCTCAATTCAGAAATAGCATATGTTAAAATTAAAATCAAATTTATTTTAGGCTTACTGTCCGTTTAAACTGCATATGTTTTGGTAATTCTTCATTCATCTGTAGTAGTTTCTGTAATTGATTCCTTAAAGCTTTGATTCGTTCTCTCTTCTCAGCCTTGACTTCTTCCCCTTCTTTCACTAACTTGTCATGTTCTCTTTTTCTTCTGGCATTCTCAATACTGAAAACAGAAATTTTAAAAGGTAACAGGTTAAAGATAGAGAAACAGCAGAGAAAATTGGTATTTAATAATTTGGAAATTCATTTAACTTGGTCAGCTTTGGTAAAATGTTGGTGTGTTTTGCAAAAGCCCAGTCCTATTAGGTATTGATCGAAAATTCCCATACCTGTAGGCTTTAGGATCTTCAATATCTTCTGGAATTGGCTCTGTTTCTATTCCAACCTGTAGGAAAAGGAGTAAAAGCTTAGCTCCTTTAAATTGCATATTTACCTTAAAATATCTAATAAGTAGTAAATTGAAGGGTTTTCTCTGCTAATTTCTAACAACCGTAGGCCTGGAAAGTATTGTCACAAAAAATAAACTACGGAAAAAAACTTATTTGTTTCTACTTCATTTAAAGAGGTATGTAGAAAGGTATGTAGAAAGAAAATCACATGTATGCAAAATGTTAATATCACCATATTCCCCTCCAAAATACGAATTAGTAATATTCATGTGTTACTAACAAAAAATACACCAAAAAAATGCTCTAGATCATTTATTTTAAAGTACTGTTTTTTTAGCATATTCCTTTCATACATGCTTTGATTCCCACCACAATACCTCATGTGTATACAAGGAAAAAGTTATATTTTTTAAATTTTAAGTGTTTCACTTGATCTTATCACAGATATTCAGTGAGAAATACACAGAATATAATCCCTCTCCTTGAGAAAGATATGAAATCAGAAATATGACTCTCCCTTTAGAAAGGAAATCAGTTTAAATTAAGTACTATGAAGTAAATCACTTAGAAGTACTTTGTTTATTCAGGTGCTGTGCTGAAAAATGTCTTAGGCTGTTAAAGAAGAGGATTTATAACCCAGTGAATGAAACAAAAAGTCCTAGTTTGCTAGCTAACCAGTTCTTAAGTAAAACTGAACTTATTTTCTGTTCTCTTCATAGCGCATAGGTCTCTGTTTCGCTATCATTTGTTGTAAAGAAATAAAGATTCTCTTTCGATCAAGTTGTTTTATTACAGTACTAGTCTTTATACACATAAAATATAAATCTAAATTTATATAAGACAAGGTTTATGATTTTCATAAAGTGAAGTCATAAAACATGACCAATGTAAGAGACAAGTGATGGCTAATATATTTTAGTTACTATTAATCACTTAGGATACAACTTGACTGAACTCTATTCTTTTATTGCTCAGAGTTAAGCCTCTTGCTTCTCCAATATCAGTTATGATTTCCAGGATTTGATGCTGATATCAGCCAACTCTCTCCTGACCTCAGCTGTTTACAATAAATTTGAGTTAAACAACGGTGCTTCCAAAGAGTTCCAAAACACCTGCCAATTGTTCTCAATCGTGACTGCACTCTAGAACCACGGGGGCTGGGGGGAGGGGTGACTTTTATAAAATACAGACGGTCCCTTACTTACAACGGTCAACTTGACGACTTTGCATTTGGTAGAAAGCATACTTCAAGTTTGGAATTTTGACCTTTTCCTGGCTAGGGACATGTGGTAGATCCTCTCTCGTGATGCTGGGCAGCTGCTGCAGCCACAGCTCCCAGGCAGCCACATGATCATGAGGGTCAACAACCGGTACCCACATAACCATTCTGTTTCTCACTTTGAATACAGTATTCAACAAATTATGAGATAGTCAATACTTCATTATAAAATAGGCTTTGTGGTAGATGATTTTGCCCAACTGTAGGCTAATGCAAGTGTTCTGAGCACGTTTAAGGTAGGCTAGGCTAAGCTGTGGTGTTTGGTAGGTTAGGTGTATTAAATGCATTTCAACTTATGGTATTTTCAACTTCTGATGGGTTTATCAGGGCACAATCCCATCGTATCTCATGTTGAAGAATGTCTGTACTGATGCCTGGGCCTCACTTTCCGAGATTCTGATTTAACTGCTCAGGCATGTATAGTTTTAAGAGCTCCCCTGTGATTCTAAAATATGGTAAGAACCTCAGACCTATGCAGAGCTTAGTTTTTTATTTTGTTTATTCAATTCTTTCTGATTTTGCCTTCTAAAAAGCAGAGGCTGCTTCAGTGACTTCAGAAATATTTATTGCAGTCATAAATAAAAGGAGACCATTATACAAATGTGGAATGGATTTTTTCTATCCCATATGGGTTTCCATAGAGAGTTGGCACTAAGTAGAAAGATAAAGATTTTCTTCTTGTTCATACACTTTCCCTTCTGGAAAATTCCTCTTCCTTAGCTTGACCTCATTAGACAACAGTTCATTCTCCAAATTTTGCTGCTATTAACAGAAATGAAAATTTACCTGCTCAAATCTTCCCTACATTCTTTGCATATTCTTTTGAAGCAGGCTACGTGTTAAATAGGAAGCCAGTGTGTTCACAGGAATTTTAACTTTGGTCTAATACAATCCCTTATGCTTTAGAAGCAATTCTAACAGTTATTAGTCATTTTATCCAAAGGAACCATTTTTTTTTTATTGGAGTATAATTGTTTTACAATGTTGTGTTAGTTTCTGCTGTACAAGAAAGTAAATCAGCTTTATGTATACATATATTCCCTCCCTCTTGGACCTCCCTCCCACCCTTCCCCCCGCCATCCCACCCTTCCCCCCGCCATCCCACCCATCTAGGTCATTACAGAGCACAGAGCTGAGCTCCCTGTGCTATACAGCAGGTTCCCACTAGCTATCTATTTTACACATGGTAGCGTACATATGTCAATCCTAATGTCCTATTTCATCCCACCTTCCCCTTACCCCTCTGTGTGCACATGTCTGTTCTCTACATCCTTGTCTCTATTCCTGCCCTGGAAATAGGTTCATCTGTACCATTTTTCTAGATTCCACATATATGCATTAATATACAATATTTGTTTTTCTTTCTGACTTACTTCACTCCATATGACAGACTCTAGGTCCATCCACATCTCTACAAATGACCCAATTTCATTCCTTTTTATGGCTGAGTAACATTCCATTGTATATATGTACCACATCTTCTTTATCCATTTATCTGTTGTTGGACATTAAGTTATTTCCATGTCCTGGATATTGTAAATAGTGTTGCAATGAACACTGGGGTACATGTGTTCTTTTGAATTATGTTTTTCTCAGGGTATATGTCCAGTAGTGGGATTTCTGGGTCATATGGTAGTTCTATTTTTAGTTTTTCAACGAACATCCATACTGTTCTCCATAGTGACTGTATCAATTTACATTCCCACCAACAGTGCACGAGGGTTCCCTTTTCTCCACACCCTCTCCAGCATTTATTGTTTGTAGATTTTTGATAATAGCCATTCTGACTGGTGTGAGGTGGTACCTCATTGTAGTTCTGATTTGCATTTCTCTAATAATTAGTGATGTTGAGCAGCTTTTCATGTGCTTCTTGGCCATCTCTATGTCTTCTTTGAAGAAATGTCTATTTAAGTCTTCTGCCCGTTTTATGATTTTTTTTTTTTGATATTGAGCTCCATGAGTTGTTTGTATATTTTGGAGATTAATCCTTTGTCCGTTGCTTCATTTGCAAATATTTCCTCCCATTCTGAGAGCTGTCTTTTCATCTTGTTTATGGTTTCCTTTGCTGTGCAAAAGCTTTTAAGTTTCATTAGGTCCCATTTGTTTATTTTTGTTTTTATTTTCATTAAGAGGTGGGTCAAAAACTATCTTGCTATGGTTTATGTCAGAGTGTTTTTTCTGTTTTCCTCTAAGAGTTTTATAGTATCCAGTCTTAAATTTAGGTCTTTAATCCATTTTGAGTTTATTTTTGTGTATGGTGCTAGGGAGTGTTCTAATTTCATTCTTTTACATGTAGCTGTCTAGTTTTCCCAGCACCACTTATTGAAGAGGCTGTCTTTTCTTCATTGTATATTCTTGCCTCCTTTGTCATAGATTAGGTGACCATAGGTGTGTGGGTTTATCTCTGGGCTTTCTATCCTAGACCATTGATCTATATTTCTGTTTTTATGCCAGTACCATACTGTCTTGATTACTGTAGCTTTGTAGTATAGTCTGAAGTCAGGGAGCCTGATTCCTCCAGCTCTATTTTACTTTCTCAAGATTGCTTTGGCTATTTGGGGTCTTGTGTTTCCACACAAATTTTAAATTTTTTTGTTCTAATTCTATGAAGAATGCCATTGGTAATTTGATAGGGATTGCACTGAATCTGTAGATTGCTTTGGGTAGTAGAGTCATTTTCACAATGTTGATTTTTCCTATCCAAGAACATGGTATATTTCTTCATCTGTTTGTATCATCTTTGATTTCTTTCATTAGTGTTTTATAGTTCTCTGAGTACAAGTCTTTTGCTTCCTTAGGTAGGTTTATTCCTAGGTATTTTATTCTTTCTGTTGCGATAGTAAATGAGATTGCTTCCTTAATTTCTCTTTCTGATCTTTCACTGTTAGTGTATAGGAATGCGAGAGACTTCTGTGAATTTTGTATCCTGCACCTTTACCAAATTCACTGATTAGCTCTAGTAGTTTTCTGGTGCTGTCTTTAGGATTTTCTATATATAGTATCATGTCATCTACAAACAGTGACAGTTTTAATTCTTTTCCAATTTGTATTACTTTTATTTCTTTTTCTTCTCTGACTGCCTTGGCTAGGATTTCCAAAACTATGTTGAATAAGAGTGGTGAGAGTGGACATCCTTGTCTTATTCCTAATCTTAGACGAAATGCTTTCAGTTTTTCACCATTGAGAATGATGTTTGCAATGGGTTTATTCATATATGGCCTTTTTATGTTGAGGTAGGTTCCCTCTATGCCCACATTCTGGAGAGTTTTTATCATAAATAGGTGTTGAATTTTGTCAAAAGCTTTTTCTGCATCTATTGAGATGATCACATGGTTTTTATTCTTTGTTAACATGAATATTAACATTGATTGATTTGCATATATTGAAGAATCCTTGCATTCCTGGGATGAATCCCATGTGATCATGGTGTTGATACTTTAATGTGTTGTTGGATTCTGTTTGCTAGTATTTTGTTGAGGATTTTTGCATCTATGTTCATCAGTGATATTGGTCTGTAATTTTCTTTTCTTGTGATACCTTTCTGGTTTTGGTATCAGGATGATGGTGGCCTTGTAGAATGAGTTTGGGAGTGTTCCTCCCAAACTTTTTGGAAGAGTTTGAGAAGGATAGGTGTTAGCTCTTCTCTCCAAAGGAACCATTTTGATAATAGAAAATTTAGGTCTTGTGATAGGGCAAAGGGATATAATTTGGGGATTCAAACCCTCAATCTTCATTACAAAGCCAATAATTTACCTGAATCTTTGATAAAACTCTCACATTCTAATACTAAAGATAATAATATTTTTACAACCCCTTTCAAAGGTACAAATTATGGTATATATCCCACATACGCCTCCTCAATAAGCAAATGAATAAATAGAATGCAAAATATATCAGAAAAAAGTTGGGCATCTTGAAAACAAAAAAACTTTGTGAAAGTGATGGAGACAGAAAAATTGACAGTCTTTTTAATAGAGGGACTTCTACACCTTTAGTAATAAGGTGAATTCAACATCTTTCATATTTGATAACAGAGGCACCAGAAAGGCAAAATTATAATACTGGTAGGAAGATTAGACTGCAAGGTATTTGCGTCTAAATAGTTTCATTTTTAAAGAATATGAGCATTTTAACATCACAATATTAAAATAAAGTTATTATTATTAGTTACATACCCTGGGAGATGGCACCTTGGCTTTCATGACCTTCTTTAACTCAAATTCAGAAAAAATGTTGAAAACAAAGATATTACTGTCTGCTCCAGCAGTCACCAAGAAACGGTCATCAAAGCTAGTGGAGATGGCATTAATGCATCCATAATTATTGTCATGCATGCTGAAATGCCAGTAATCCTCCATATTGGTCAATGAAGGATCATTCTTATTTAGGATATAGACTCGAACTGCTCCATTTTGCATTCCACAAAACATCATTTCTTGGTTAATGCTATGAAACAAAAGGAAAGTAAATCGTTCTTCACATTAATCTGAAAATGTTTAATTTTAAGTTAATTGAAAAATGACTAAAGTTTTAAAAACAAAGATGTTATGGAGTAAGTTGTGTCCCCACAAAATTCATATGCTGAAGCCCTAACAAACTATGGCAGCTCTAGCAAGCTAATACAAAAGAATAGAAGGAGAAAAAGACAATTTGAAATTTGGAGCTATTATATTTGGTCTTCAAAAGAATGACCAGGATATATGCTTAATTCTTAATTATTAAAGGACTAATGTTTCAATTAGTGATCTTTCCAGAATCATTGTAACCCAGAACTTTCGTTATCTGACTGTGCAGTAGCATCCTCCTAAGTAACAGAAAGAAAATCCATACAATTGAACTGTGTGACAAATTCTGACAGAATATTTGATAGAAGGAATTTAAGTAGGTTCAGGAGTAGCTTAGATTCTACTTTAGTCATTTGATTTATTTAACTAAACATTGTTTGAATACTCCTCCATTTGGACAGATCTTTAAAATTGACAATATTAATGATGGACAAAAACAGACAGTAATGGGATATAGTTTTTTTTAAAGCTTTCTGAAATTCTGGTCACCTGAAAGTGATAGCTGTGATGGGATTATCCTCTGTATCCTCAAGAAGACGGAAATCAAAAGGTTCATCTTTCTTTTCTGTGATATCACTGCTTTTGTCATATGGGGGAAACTCACAGTGATATAGAAAACCAGAATCATAGCCACCCTGGAAAAGAGATAGATAACATACAAGGTAGTACCTGAATATAAGAAACCTATGACCACATGAGGAGTTTTTGATTATTTCAAATTTTAACACATGAAATAGGTGTCTTAAAACATATACTTTTGTATGATTTCTATGGTTACAGATGGAGATGCTTTATAAAACCTATTATTAATTTATATGCAACTACATAATTATAAAAATAAAACACCTTACAATGATTTGTTCCTACTTAAAAGACAATACAAGAGGGACTTCCCTGGTGGTCCAGTGGTTAAGAATCCGCCTCCCAATGCAGGGGACGTGGGTTCGATCCCTTGTTGGGGAACTAGGATCCACATGCCACGGGGCAACTAAGCACGTGCACCTCAACTAGAGAGCCCATGCACCCACAACTGCAGAGCCCATGCACTCTGGAGCCCACACACTGCAACTACTGAGCTCATGTGCCGCAAGGAAGAGCCCATGCACTGCAATGAAAGATCCCACGTGCTGCAACAAAGACCCGACACAGACAAAATAAATAAGTAAAAATAAATATTAAAAAAAAAGACAATACATGAGAGATATCATTTCTTTTTTTTTTTTTTTGCGGTACACGGGCCTCTCACTGTTGTGGCCTCTCCCATTGCGGAGCACAGGCTCCGGACGTGCAGGCTCAGCGGCCATGGCTCACGGGCCCAGCTGCTCCACGGCATGTGGGATCTTCCCGGACCAGGGCACGAACCCATGTCCCCTGCATCGGCAGGTGGACTCTCAAACACTGCGCCACCAGGGAAGCCCAAGAGATATCATTTCTATCTACATACTGAATTCCATTTTATTTTAAGGATTATTCGGCATAAGCAGTATTTAACAATAGAGTTTTGTAGATCATGGTTTTCAGAGATTTCCAGTCCAGGAGATTTTTTTTCTCCCTAAGGCAACTGCCAGTTCTGAAAGTGGCAGCTGAGAGGTTAAGAAATTGAGCGGAGCAATCTGTAGTGTCATGGGCTTAGGGAAAGGCAAAGAATTCCCAGGGTCCTCCAAGAAGAAGGAGCCATTGTAAACACACCTTCCACTGGGCTTTCCATTGCAACCCTGGAGCACTATATCCCACACATATGTATAAACCAGAAATAGACTGGACCTCGTAGGAAGTAAAACCTAATTTCAAGTCATCTCAATCACTGACTGGATGAAACTGATCTAGGATTTTTAGTTGCTTTCCAGAACTAAAAATAAATTTCAGGAGACAACAGCAATATACAGAAGCTCAAGCTGATGCTACAGTTTTTGACAGACAAGATCCAGCGTTCAATTATAAAAAAAAAAAAACAAACTAGGTATACTAACAAAGAAAAGTCTTGATTGAAAATCAAAAGAAAAAACAGACCAAAGAAACAAAAGTACAAGAAATAGTGATAGAGGTGTTTTCAAAATGGACTTCAAAATAACTCTGATTAATATATTTAAGGCCTTTGAAGGCAATACAGAAAGAAGTCAACTAGGGTCTATAAAAAAGTAGATAATGGAAAAAATAAAAATTCTAGAACTGAAAAATAAAATGACAAAAATTAGAATTCAATAGATTGGTTTAAAAGCAACTAGACACAGCTAAAACTAGAGTTATGAAGCTGGAACAGAATCAGAAAAAATAGAGTAAGGCAGGAGAGAGAAAATACAGATGTAAAATTTTTTAAAAAGGAGTGTAAGATCTACATGGGACATAATGATAATGATTAATATACACAAAATTAGAATCCCACAAGAAGAGACTAAAAAGATGGACCAGAAGCAGTACTGTGGTTGATAAATGTCTGAGAATTTTCTAAAAACTGAATACAAATGTATTGAAGTACAAGAAATGCAATGACCCACAAGGAAGATATATGAAGAATTTACACCTTTTAACATTACACCATAAAACTCCCAGAAGAGAGCATAAGCAAAACATTCTCTGACATAAATCATACCAATGTTTTCTTAGGTCAGTCTCCCAAGGTGACAGAAATAAAAACAAAAATAAACAAATGGGACCTAATCAAACTTACAAGCTTTTGCACAGCAAAGGAAACCATAAAAAAAAAAGACAACCTATGGAATGGGAGAAAATATTTGCAAATGATGTGACAGACAAGGGCTTAATCTCCAAAATATACAAACAGCTCATACAACTCAACAACAAAAAAACAAACAACCCAATCAAAAAATGGGCAGAAGACCTAAATAGACATTTCTCCAAAGAAGACATACAGATGGCTAGCAGGCACATAAAAAGATGCTCAACATCACTAATTACTAGAGAAATGCAAATCAAAACTACAATGAGGTATCACCTCACACCTGTCAGAATGGCCATCATTAGAAGTCTACGAATAACAAATGCTAGAGAGGGTGTGGAGAAAAGGGAACCCTCCTACACTGTTGGTGGAAATGTAAGTTGGGGCAGCCACTATGGAAAACAGTATGGAGGTTGCTCAGAAAACCAAAAATATAATTACCATACAATCCAGCAATCCCACTCCTGGGCATACACACAGACAATACTATAATTCAAAAGGTACATGCACCCCTATGTTCATAGCAGCACTATTCACAATAGCCCAAACATGGAAACAACCTAAATGTCCACTGACAGATGAATGGATAAAGAAGATGTGGTACATATATACAGTGGAATACTACTCGGCCATAAAAAAGAATGAAATAATGCCATTTACAGCAACATGGATGAAACTAGAGATTATCATACTAACTGAAGTCAAAAAAAAGAAAGACAAATACCATAGGATATCACTTATATGTGGAATCTAAAATATGGCACAAATGAACCTAGCTACAAAACAGAAACAGACTCAGACATAGAGTTCAGACTTGTAGTTGCCAAGGGGGAGGAGGGTGGGAGAGGGAAGAACTGGGAGTGTGGGATTAGCAGATGTAAACTATTATATACAGGATGGATAAACAACAAGGTCCTACTGTATAGCACAGGGAACTATATTCAATATCCTGTGATAAACCATAATGGAAAAGAATATGAAAAAAAAAAGTCTGCATGTATATAACTGAGTCACGTTGCTGTACAACAGAGACTGGCACAACACTGTAAATCAACTGTACTTCAATAAAAAAATAAAGAAGTTACACCTTTTAACACAAAATCTTCAAAGCAACAAGAGAAAAAAAGATGCATAGGTAACAAAAAATAACAATAAAAAGATGTACATAGGGCTTCCCTGGTAGCGCAGTGGTTAAGAATCCACCTGCCAATGCAGGGGACACAGGTTTGATCCCTGGTCCGGGAAGATCTCACATGCCGTGGAGCAACAGAGCAACTAAGCTCGTGCACCACAACTACTGAGCCTGTGCTCTAGAGCCCGCAAGCCACAACTACTGAGCCTGCATGCCACAACTACTGAAGCCCGCACACCTAGAGGATATGCTCTGCAACAGAGAAGCTACCACAATGAGAAGCCTGCGCACTGCAACGAAGAGTAGCCCCCACACAGCTACAAAAACCCAATGTAGCCAAAAATAAATTAAAAAAAAAAGATATAGATGGCAGAATGGAAGACAAAAGATGGTAAGATATCAAAGTTTTAAAAAGAAAATATACAGAAGAACTAAAAGTTTTAAAGGCAAAATAGGCACAAGGCAAAAAAAAACCCCCAAACTTATATATACATATATATGTGTGTGTGTGTGTATATATATATATATATATATATAAAATGTGACAATGAGGTGAGGGGGAGGATACACAACAATAAAGTGCCCTAAGATCTTTTTTCTCTAGAGCTAGTAAAAGAATAAATTTGTATCAAATTATATTAAATTAAGGATATATACTATGACCTTTAGCATCACCACTAAAAACAAAATAGTAAAAAAAAAAAGTATAACTAATAACCTAATAGAGGAGGAAAATTGGGGGGGAAACTACCTAATCATCTGATAGAAGGTGAAAAACCAAACGTAGAATTGGTGTGATAAACAGAAATAATAAGATGGTAGATTTAATCTAAAATATATTAGCCATTACATTAAATATAAAAGGACACAGTGTTCTATTAAAATAAAGATTTTACTACAGGATTAAAAAGAAAAGCCTAGCCATGTGCTGCTTACAAAAGACATACTTTGAAATAAGAATATCAAAGGTAAAGGCAAGAAAATAATCATTAACAACTCTCAGAGTTTTGGCTTAGTAACTGGATGGATGGTTGTCCCATTTACTGAAATGGAGATGGAGCAGGTTTGCACAGGGCAAGTGTGATTTAAAAGTTATATTTTGGGGATTTCCCTGGTGGTACAGTGGGTAAGACTCTGTGCTCCCAATTCAGGGGGCCCAGGTTCGATCCCTGGTTGGGGAACTAGATCCTGCATGCATGCCACAACTAAGAAGTCCACATACTGCAACTAAGAAGTCCGCACACCACAACTAAGAAGTCCACATGCCGCAACTAAAGATCCCACGTGATGCAACTAAAGATCCCACATGCCGCAACTAAAGATTCCATGTGCCGTGACTAAAACCCGGAGCAGCCAAAATAAAAATAAATATTAAAAAAAGTTATATTTTGGACATGTTCATTTTGAGGTGCCAAGTAGTGATGTCAAGTTGGACATACAAGTCCGAATATGAGAGGAGAGGTCAAGACTAGAGATAAAAATGAAATTTATTGGCATATATTTGATATTTAAAATCTTGGGACCAGATAAAATCATCTAGCAAGAAAGAGGGCACCCAAGACCACATCCTAGAGTACTTCAAAGTTCAAAGCTAGTTCAACATATAAGAAGCCAGCAAAAGAGTCTAAAAAGGAGTGGACAGCAGATGGTGGTGTCATGGAAGCCAAAAAAGAAAATGCTTTAAGAAGAATGGAGGGTTAACTTTAGCAAATGTTTCTGAGAGGTCAAATGGACAGAGAAGTGACCACTGAGCTTGGCAGTAGGAAAATCTTTGATGACTTGAAGTGGTGGAGCTAGAAACCTGACTGGAATGTGTGAAAAACCAAATAGGATGTGAAGAAATGAAGCCAGTGACTACAGACAATTCTTTCAAGTTTTCCTATAAAGGAGAAGTGGATGAGAAGAAAAGAGATGTGAAAGAATCAAATCAAGTACTAGGAGCATGTTTATGTGCTGACGATAAGAAATGAGTAAACAGAGAGAGGGTGAAGATACAGGAGACCAGCCAGTTTACTTCAGGAGTAAAATCTTTGAGAAAGTGAGAGGGGATGGGATCAAGAGGCCATTTGGAATAGTGTCCTTGGAAAGTTGCAGGTGACCATTCACCAATTGTTAACAGTAGCAGACAAACCTGTATGGATCTCCATGGGACATTAGATCTCAATAAGACAAGGTAAGGAAATTCCATCTGATTGTTTTTATTTCATTTTCTCAGTGAAATGTGAGATGGGAATTCCTTGGCAGTCCAGTGGTTAGGACTCTGTGCTTTCACTGCCGGGGCCTGGGTTCAATCCCTGGTCAGGGAACTAAGATCCTGTAAGCCACTCAGTGGGGAAAAGAAAAAAAAGAAAAAAAGGAAAAGGAAAAAGAAAAGAAATGTGAGATAAAGTTATCATTAGAAGTTGAGGGAAGGTACAAAATGATTGATGGGAGAAGAATTAAAGCGATAGTTTGGAAAGTGGGAAAGTGAACATGGCTGGGCAGTAGAACCAGCCTGCACTGTGAGTACTGATTTGAGAACTGTGGTCGTGCCTTCAAAATGAGACTGGTTTTCTGCAGCATCTGCTTGGATACAGGCACAGAGTTGGCAAATAGTTGAGTCAAGCAGGGTTAGTGTCACTTCTTCTGAACTATGCCTTGACCTTGTATGCTGGTGTAGTTTAATGGTTAAGAGTGTGGACTCTAGACCCAGACTGCCTGAGTCCAGATCCTGGTTCCACCCCTCATTAATTATACAACCTCAGATAAGTTACCTAACCTCTCCACTCCTTGGTTTCTTCTTATGTAAAATGCAAATTATGAAGAGTGCTTATTTTATAGGGTGGTCACTTAGAATGGTGACTGGTATATAATAAGCAGGTTTCCAGATTTAGCAAATAAAAATACAGAATGAATGTTAACTAAACTTATTGTGGTAATCATTTCATGATACATGCAAGTCAAATCATTATGCTATATACCTTAAATTATACAAAGCTGCCTGTCAATTATATCTCAGTAAAACCAGGAAAAAAGTTTTTAAATGCAGGATGCACAGTTAATTTGAATTTCAGATAAACAACAAATATGTTTTTAGTATAAGTATGTCCCATGTAATACTTATCTGGCACCCCTAAAGGTAAGCATTAAATATGTTTGTCAGGGCTTCCCTGGTGGCGCAGTGGTTGAGAGTCCACCTGCCGATGCAGGGGACACGGGTTCATGCCCCGGTCCAGGAAGATCCCACATGCCACGGAGTGGCTGGGGCCGTAAGCCATGGCCACAAGCCATGGCCGCTGAGCCTGCACGTCCAGAGCCTGTGCTCCGCAACGGGAGAGGCCACAACAGTGAGAGGCCCGCGTAACGCAAAAAAAGAAAAAAAAAAAAGTTTGTCAAATAATTAATAATTCTTGCATATGTTTCAAGGACACTAGAACTCTATCATATTACTGTACAGTTGTTTCTGTGCTTCTCTCCCTCATGATATGAGGGAACTTTCAGAAGGCAGGATCATGTCTTAATTATTCCTTTACCCCATGAACCCCACACAACAGTAGCCATCGATAATTGTTTCATGAAGCACAGAAGATAAAAGGTCAAGGCACTAATACATGGAATCCTAAGGTGCCTCCATCACTACTTCCTATCCTTCTTGCTGCTTGTCTCCTTAGAAGTTGCCATCAAAGATATATTTCTAAGAAATGTTGAAGAGGAATGGAGTTAACTCTCATCACTCCTTATAGCAACAGTACTCAGCTAGGCAGTCTCCTGGCCTGGCCAAAGATCTGATACCAATTATGAATTAGAGATAATAATTGACATAAAAGTATATGTGAAAAAAAAAAGTATATGTGAAAGAGTACTTTTTTGGTGAATGGAATTGAAATTTGTGACAAATTCATAATGAAGGAAATCTTGTTTGCAATAGATAAATAAAATATTTTATAAGGGTAGAAAATATATAGGGGATGTAACTGTCACATTATTGTAACATTTGCAGGTACTTGTCTCGCATTTTTCTCTTCTTCCTTATTAGCCAAGTCCCAATTTCACTCAGGGTGGCAATGTGACCATCTAAAAACAGTCAGCTTCCCAGACTTCCATGCAGCCACACAGCATAGTTGTAGATAATGAAAGGTAAGCAAAAGTCTAGTGGACTGTGCTGCCATCATATTCAAAATTTTAAAATGATAAACACAGCTGGAAAACCCCTTAGCCCTTTGCCCTTCTACCTTTAATTCTCCTCCCCTTTGACCTTCTGAAATGTGTGATTGTCATAGATAACAGATACAATAAGTAGACTTATAAAACATATTAAGATGATATAAAAACAAACACATTCATTCATCAAAATTCACACCTTCGGTAGTAGTTAATAGCTGAAGTCTTACCATAGAGTAAGGAAGTAAGAAAGTGATGGAAAATAATACCTATAATTAGATTAGGGTTGAGATAAAAATTTATTACATTATTACTTACCAAAGAAACCCAGAACTTCCCTGGCCCAGAGTAAAATCCACAGAGGATGTGACAGGGGGTTAAAGGAATAAAGATTTCGGGTAATGGTTCCTCCTCCTCCTCCTCCTCTTCCTCCTGGAGTTCCTTTTCTCCATCTTCTCCCATCTCTGCTTCTAGGCTTTTCCTCCTTTCTTCCTTTTCCTTCTCCTTCAACTCCTTTTGTTTCTTTCTCTTTGCAATTTCTATTAATCTCTTGTGCAAAAGAGATATTGAGATAAAAAAAACTGTAATTCATTCATTCATTCACACTATTATTAAAGAAAGTAGGAGGAAGACAGAGTCCTAGAAAAATTTACAGCTCTAATGTAACAAATAATGTCATTTAAAGATTATTATCAAGTTGGGAATATATTTTTATTGTTAAAATTTTCAAATCTTTGGAATGACTTTCTTCATAACTCCTATTGATCCTGGTTTTACAGAAATTATTTTGCCTTTTTTTTTCCTAATAGAGAAGTTAAATATAGCTTCTCTCAGAGCCTATCACTGTCAATCCATGAATTTGGTGGATTGACATAGTCCACGGGGGAAGCTGGCTCTATCTTTAGCGGTACAGTGATTTAGGCCCTCAGCCTCTATCAACTGGCTATTGCAAAAGCCCCCTAGCACTGGCATCCCTAACTCCCATCTTTTACCTCTTTATTCCATTTACCTCTTAGAATTAAGTTCCAAATTTATATGATCTCATCACATCAATCGCCTCCTCAAAAATTCAAAATGGATTCCAATGGCCCCGAAATTAAATTAAAACATCTTGGCTAACATTTAAGGGGTTCCATGTGGTGGTCACAGACTCCTGTCACACCCCTCCACAAATTGCATCCCTCTGCTTCATGGTCCATTCTTCATTTATCGAAAACTCCAAAACTCTTGCAACTCTGCCTTCCCTCAGGATGTTCTCCCAGCTTTTATTGCCTTCCTCCTCATTTTCAACCTGTCAAAATCCTTCCCATTCTTTAAATACTAAATATCACCTCCATGAAGTCATCCTTGACCTCCTCTCACCCCTCTATCAGAATCATATATTCTTTCCTCTGCGTGCCCCTAAAATTCTTTTCTTTGCACTGTGATTTTAATATCTGCTCATTACCACCTTCTAATACAATAAGCTGCTTTCTACCAAATAAGCTCCTTAAAGTAAAAGTCTATGTCTTATTCTTCTTCTTCGTATTTTCCCAGGACTTAACACAGGATATTTTATATTCTAAGAAAGAAAAAAAATTAGAAGACAATGCTTCAAGGGTATTTCATACCAGAATCTTAGATTTGATACTTGAGAAATGGAAACATTTTATACACATGTCTTTGATTTCATAGGAAACTACATCATGGTCCTCCTCCTCCTCCTTTATAGTTGGAAATGGAGCTTCAAGAACATAGTCATTCTCACAAATAATCAGTAAAGTACTTTCAGGCTAAAAACAAAATTAAAACATATCATTTACATTTAGGCAAATTTTTAGAAGCACAGTTCATAAAGATTTTAAACCAGGGAAACTATAATTGCTATGTATATTAGCCATTTTTAAAAGATACTTATTACCAGTAATAACCACAGTGAGGAACTTAGTCAATCTTATTAATCACTATACACAATTATTAGTACAATTATATCATTAATTAATGAGTTAAGTGTTAAAATTAGATTTAGATTCATTTCCCTTATAGATGCCATATTCTCTGAGCCAAAATTTGGTTGTGAAATGTTATCCCAAACAGCAGAATATTAAAATTAGGACTGCCAAGGAAAATCTGCAGTATGTGAATGGCATATACAACCTCAGCCTCCTTTGACTGATCATCCTCTCTCTGCCTGAGTTCATTTAATGTGGATGTCCCCAAGATTTTTGTTCACTTCCCTCTTCTTTCTCTCCATAAACATGCCCTGGGAAATCTTATAGCTAATCAAGGCTTCATTACCACTCACAAGCAATTAGACTCCAGATTAATCCCTCTAGTCCAGTCCAAAATCATGTATTTAACCATGTGTGGGAAATCCCCATCTTGATAGTCTACAGAAACGTTATTCAAAATGTTTATTCGAAATGTTTATTCATTCAGTTATTCTATTCTATACTTATTATATACCTATTATGTGTTCAGAATTTTGTAGAGGGCTAGAGGCAAAATTATAATAAGAAAAATAGGGATTGTCTCTGCCATTATGAAGCTTACCTCCAATGGGAGAGCCTGTCATTTAACAAATCATATAAATAAATGTAAATTATAACTGCAATAAGTGTTGCAGAGATACCACAAGAGTAAGGAGGTTGTACAAGGCTTCCTGAGAAGGTGGTACCTAAGTCTCAAGGTGAAGGATGAGTAGAAGATATTTTTATAATGACTTAGGGGAGGGTTTGAGGGAGCATGCTATGTAAAGGACATACCATGTGCAAATATCCTGTGGCACATTTGGGCTTTTAAGAAAGTTGTGGCCTTGGTGGTATCACCTAGGTGAAGAGAACAGAGTGAGAAGAGACTGGGACAGAGCCTTGGGGAAACAACACTCAATGGCTGAGTAAGGGAGACTGAGAAGGAGTGACAAGATGTAAGAGAAGGAATAAGGAGAGCATAATGTCCCCCAAATCAAACAAAGATGGTATTTCAAAGAGGAAGTGAGGGTCAACAAGGTCAATTGAGGCTAAGAGGGCAAGAAGATAAGAACTAAAACTGTTAAATGGATACCACCGGTATCTTTAGAAGAGCTGATCTGGTGGAATTATGAGACACAAGAAACTCGTAAGAATGTGTAAAGGAAGGAGTAGGTGTAAGGAAATGCAGTTCGTGGGAATAAACAATCCCCTTAAGAAAATTGGGAGGAGAAACATGGAGCAGTGACTGGAGGAGAACATGAAGTCAAGGAATTTATTTTTTATACATGAGAGTTTTGAATATATTTAAATACTGATGGAAATAATCCATTTAACAAGTAAGGTTAAATTTATATGACAGAAAAGAGAAAATAAATGTGTGAAATGTTGAAAAAAGTGGGAGTAGAATCCAAAGGTCACAAGGGAGAATTGGCCTCAAGTAGGAAGGCACACAGCACCTCTATTGTAAAAAAAAAAAAAGGGAAGAGGAGCAGGTAAATGAAGAGGTAACAGGATTTTACGTTTGGTAGTGGGAAGGTAAAGGAGTTCCTGGCAGAGGGCTCCTACTCTATGAAATAAGTGATGCTGAGAATGAGAGTGAGCGAGCTAGTGGGAGGCTTGAAGCTTTGAGGAGAGGAGAAGTTTTTAAGTGTTCATTGTGGGTGAAAGAGAATTGATAAGAACAATGTCATAGGATTGCTAAGCCATACCATGAATTGTGTTGAGGCCATTTGAGTCACTAAATTATGGAGAAGCTAATCTTCTCTGATGTATGACTACCTCCAGCTGCCCTAGGTAATCACTGTAGGCAAATACAAATCAGTTGGGGGCATTCAGGGATGGATTTTTGCCAGAAGTGTATGAAAAAAAGAGAAGGGAGCTCAAGGCATTGGAAGAGTGCTATTGAACCCTACTGAAAAGAATCATTACATTTAAGCCGGATATAGGGGGAACTTAAGACAAGAGTGGACTAATGAGTGAGGGAAAGCAAATGGTGAATGAACAAGGGGTGCCTGTGACTTCAGAGAACAAGTAGAGCAGAAGTAGCTAAGTTAACAGGCTGGATAGAAGAGAGGTTGAGGTTAGAATGTGAGATATCTGAATAGTAGACTTTTAAAGTTGAGTTCTTATAAGACATTGTAGTCTGAATCATGTCCCCCCAAATTCTTATGCAGAAATCCTAACCCCCAGTATCTAAGAATGTGACTGTATTTGGAGATGGGGCCTTTAAGCAGGTAATTATGTTACAATACAGTTGTTAGGGTGGGTCCTAATCCAATAGGACTGGTGTCCTTATAAGAAGGGGAGATTAGGACACAGAGGGACAATCATGTGAGGACACAGTGAGAAGGTGGCCATCTGCAAGGCAAGGAGAGAGGTCTCAGAAGAAATCAAAGCTGTCAGCACCTTGATCTTAAACTTCTAGCCTAAAGAACTGTGAGAAAATAAATTCCTGTTCTTTAAGCCACCCAGACTGTGGTATTTTGTTATGGAGGCCCTAATAAACTAATAAACTGTGGTAATAGTGCCCAGTGGGTGGCTGTGAACATGTGTGGATAAACTGTAAAGGTCATGGGAAATGAAGAGGTCAAGAAGCTCAGAGGCTGATGTGATTTGATTGACTAGGCACATGGTGTTAATATCATTCAGTATAATTGTTTACACTTCGGATAAAGAGAAAGATAACCATATTCTCAAAATTTTAATAAAGGGGCAGGCTTGACCAGGTGGTCAGATGATAACAGCAACATAAAAAGATAGAAGGTGATATAGCCAAGTTACAAGAGCCTCAGAGGAGCTGTGTTTGTATTTTATGAGTCAAGTCATAAAAGTAATAAATATTGTCACAAATGAAATAAACGTTAACTATTATACTTCTCTCCCTGACCCCAAACATATATAATGAATGCTAAAAAGTTCCACACTTTTCTCCTCAGAATAGAATTTTTTCGAGTACAGAAAAGGGTATTCATTTATTCATTCAGTGAAGATATGGTCAATCCATATCCATGAAGGTAAAATAACCAGACACATTAGAAATAAGACATCAAAAGTGAGAGTCAACAAAACAAATACCAAAAAAATCCATAAAGACTTCAGATGTTGAAATTATCAGACTCAGTCCAAAAAACAATTATGCTTACTATATGTAAAGGAATATAGAAGTATCCACAGGAAGCAAAAAAAATATAAAACTAACAAAACAAATATGACAAACAACCAAATAAAACTTCAAGAACTAAAAAATACAGAAGTTGAAAATAAGATCACAAAGGATGGCTTTAATACCAGATAACTGAAGAGATTACTAGTCAGTAGAAAATATGAGAAGAAATCCGTAAAATACAGCCTGGAGAGATTTTTTTAAGCTAGAAAAATACGGAAGATCTGTCATTTATACGACAGAAAAAAACTGTGAAATTTTGGAAAAAGTAGGAGTAGAGACAGAGAAAGTTAAACAAAATGAGAGGACAGAGGAATTTGTTACAAACAGAAGAACAAGGGAAAAAACCCTTAAAAAAAAAACAATTAATGAAACAGAAACAATTTACCAGATAAAGAGCTCAAAGCATTAGTAATACATATGCTAACTGAATTTGAAAAAAGAATAGATGAACACGTGAGAATTTTAACAAAAACTAGAAAAATATTAAAAATAATCAGAGCTGAAGAATAGAGTAACAAATGAAAAACACACTAGAAGGAATTAGAGCAAACTAAGTGATACAGAAGAAAGCATAAGTGATCTTGAAGGTAGAATAATGGAAATCACCCAATCAGAATAGCAAAAAGAAAAAATAAAATTTAAATGAGGATAGTTTAAGGGACCTCTGGGACACCATCAAGCATACTAACATTCCCATTATAGAGATCCAAGAAGGAGAAGAGAGAGAAAGGGGTTGATAATCTATTTGATGAAATTATGGCTGAAAACTTCCCAAAACTGCAGAAGGAAATAGATATCCAGGTACAGGAAGCACAGAGATTCCCAAACAGGATAAACCACAAGTGAAGAAACTAAAAGAACACAGAAGAACTACAAAAACAGCCAGAAAACAAGTAACAAAATAGCAATAAGTACATGCCTATAAATAACTACTTTAAATGTCAATGGACCAAATACTTCAACAAAGAATTATGGGTGGGGTAGCAATACTCATATAGGACAAAGCAGACCTTAAAACGAATTTTACACAAAAGACAAAGAAGGGCATTATGTAGTGATTAAGGGATCAATACAGGAAGAGAATATAACATTCATTAACATATATGCATCTGGGACTTCCCTGGTGGTCCAGCAGCTTAGGCTCTGCACTCCCAATGTAGGGGACCCAGGTTCAATCCCTGGTCAGAGAACCAGATCCCACATGCCACAGTGAAATTCCTGCAGGCCACAACTAAAGATCCTGCATGCTGCAACTAAGACCCAGCGCAGCCAAATAAATAAATAAATGTTTTTTAAATGTTTCTAAAAAACATATGCACCTAATATAGGAGCACCTAAACATATAAGGCAAATGTTAACAGACATGAAGGAAAAAACTGACAATAATACAATAAGAGTAGGGGAACTTTAACACCCCACTAATGTCAATGGACAGATCATCCAGACAGAAAATCAATAAAGAAGTGGTGGTTTTTAATGACACATTAGACCAGTTGGACTTAATAGATAAATATAGAACATTCCATCCCAAAACCGCAGAATACATATTATTCTCAAGTGCACATGGCACTTTCTCTAGGACAGAACACATGCTAGGCCACAAAACAAGTCTCAACAAATTTAATAGAATAGAAATGATATCAAGCATTTTTTCCAA